AACTTGGTATTACAGAAGGTTTTAGAGTGGTTCAGAAAAAGGGGAATTATCCTTGGATTTACAAACAAGGAATCTATGTGATTGTTATGAAGATGAGAGTTCCGTAGGAGTTGGTGTTATTTAGCGTCTACTTTAAATATAACCATGTTTCCACACTCTCACACCCTTACCTGTTATTGCCTGAAGCTTGGCTGAAAAACAATGAAGGAATGGGCTAGATGAATTATAGTACTAGAGGCGTGCGCTGTGTTGCTGCAAACATCAATATTAGGCCTGCTGTCATGAACGTGAAAATAGTGTTGTCATTGTACCTTGTGGTATTAAGATTAAGTATATATTTCAGCTAAGTGACATCAAACAGGCTAAAACATTGTGCTAAGGACTGGTCAAGCATGCGGTATGTGCAAATTTTTTGTGTTGAAGTGATTATGACCTGAAGGAGTGGTCCCCAGGCTGTTGCTTGTGATGACTTGGGATGCTGCTATTAGACACAGACAATTGTTAGGCAGTTTTCTATGGAAGAAAAGAATCCACGGAGTGGGAAATGTTCTTTTCTAAATAAAGGAATTCATCCGGCTTTTTGTAGCTTAAGCCAGTCTTGGTAGTGGTTGCTGTATTTGAGGAAATTATTTCTTTATCTTGCCCTTACTGTTAAATTTATTTCAGGCCACAGTCAGAATGATTCTTTTTACTCACTGGTTTGGTTTTTTTAATTCCACTTTTCCTTTCAGTGCCCTAATGTCTTTAAATATTTAATATACAAGAGATTTTCTATCTTCTAGAATAAATGGCCTGAAGGGAGGAGGAATTTCTGAAACTATCCTACTTGAATGTACAAGAAGAAAATCCAGTGTGCAACCAAGCTGTTTATCTGATTACACACCACTGAAGTGCACTTCGTCGAGCCCTGCTTCTGCACAGGCCACTGAAGTGATCTGCCAGTGATTGTGTAGCTGATATGTGTTTCAAAGTCACACTCACTTAAAAAACAAATAAAAACCCAACCCAGATCTTCACATTACTGGGAGAGTAGAAATGATTCCATGGTTGATAGAGTGGTTTGGTATATAGAAAATTTACAGGCAAATATGTAAAATTTTTTTTCCTTGATTCATGCACAGATTGCCTCTACAGGTTTGATGTATATTTTCTTCTGAGTTGCTCGGGGGAGCACTGGTTTGTGCTTTAGGAGGGGAGGGATGCTTGGGAGAAGGAAGCTGTTTGAGGCAGACATGCTGTGGTAAGAGCCATGGCAGAGCCAAAGGTTCTGCAAATTGCTAATAATGTGTGGATATTCATGTTAATTTTTAAAACACAAGTGTGTGAGAAGTTTTTTCTTTTCTTTTTTTATGCAGGTCAACTTTGTAGTGTGCCAACTGTTTGCCTTGCTTGCGGCTATTTGGTTTCGAACATACCTTCATTCAAGCAAAACTAGCCCATTTATAAGACATGTTGTTGCAACCCTCTTGGGCCTTTATCTTGCACTTTTTTGTTTTGGATGGTAAGTTGGACTTAAATTCACTTTTCAGGATTTGTAGATTTTCATTTCTTGTTTGCAGGGAAGCAAAGCTTTGTTATGAGGAACCTTATTACCTAATTCAGTGGTTTCTAGCTGCTGCAAATGTACAGAAATTGGCTTAACTTTTCTGATGCGGTGCACAAATTTTGAAAGATCTTCCATTTGCAAACTGATAACTAACATACTGTCTGCCAGTGGTTTTGGGAGGATGGAGCAGATGCAGTTGGTTTAACTTGTACCAGTTTTTCTGTAAACTTGCTTGAGAAGTATTCTCTTGACGCACAGCACAGGTGCGATGACTAAGATAATTTCTTATATATTCACTGCATGAGATAACTCACTGTGTCTCTTTCTGAATATTGAATATAATCTGACTTTTTGTAGGAAGAGTGGCCGGAACTGCAGTACTGATGATGCTCTTAGTAGTATAAAACACCTGGAAAGGAGCCAGCCTTGATTTGAGTGTTTTGTGTGGGTTTTTTTTCTTCTATGTTTTGGAGGGAGTGTGTGGTTTCTGTGGTTGTGGGTTTTGGGGGTTTTTTGTTTTGGTTTTTTTTTTTTTTTTTTAAAAACCACAAATTTTCTGTGACTGCTGTTTTCACATCTTTGATCTTTTCACAGTTTAGCAAGCCAGAATGTTAGTAGGGCTAATAAAGGGTATGCATTTAGTTTGGTGAAAAATTTTTTTTCCTTCAAAATTAGCTTACTAAATGGCTTTCATCTTCCCAAGCTGGCTTAAGATTAATTAAGTGCCAGTTCTGTTTTATTGCACAGTAAACAAAGTGCTTGCTCAGCTTCGTGTATAGAAGACTTATTTATAGACTATTGTAGTGTGTTACTGAATTAGGGGGCATTAATCAAGCTGTGTGCAGGTGGGAAGATGCACACAGTGTGTGCATGCATGTGTCTGCACACACAGAGTGTGTACAGAATTCTTGGAATTTCATACCACAGATTTGGCCTCTACATTGGCATGTTGCAGAGGCTTCTCAACATTAGTTGCAATGTATTACTTTTAAATTTAGGAAAAGAAAAATCAGTAAGTTTTATTCTTTGGATTTACATGTACACTTTACTTGTGTATATAATTCCATAACTCCCATGCGTTTCTTAAACTTTTGGCCATGGTATTCTGCTTTGAGAGAATGATCTGATGCCAAAGACTTCCAGTCTTAGCACCAAATGAGGAGGATGATATGGGACATAGGTGCTACTGTGTGTGGTTTTTGAGAGCTGTGTAAGCTTTAGAAGCACATTCTGTATCCATTGCTTTGGAAACAGAAATCATTAATTGTAGCTTGTAACTAAAAAGCATTAACAGTATATTCATATCTGAAAGTTGGGGATGGGAGGCTTTAGAAAGAAACAACCTCCACTCCCAACAGACATAAATAAAGATTTGTGAAGTCTCTCCTTGGCAATACGCCCTGGAAAAGAACTCAGAGAGAAATCTTATGCCATAGTAGAAATCCAGATTATTCTAGTTTGCTTTGGATCATACTTAAAGCAATTATTTTAGCAATGAATTTTTATTTTACGAAAAGGTTTTTTTCTTGCAATCATGAAACTAAAAGCTTTTTAAAAATGCCGAAAAGAAAAAACATAATTTGAGATGTTAAAAGTACATATACTTTAAAAAGCTGATACTTCTGTTGCACTTGTGCCAACTCTTTATCCTATTGCTTAAGTATGTGTTATACAAGCACATTTTTTGAGTGTTTTGTTTGGTTTCCCTCACCCCTCCCCGAGGAATCAAGTATAAGTACAGGTTACAATCCTGTCATACACCTTCAGCGACTCTTCAATTATGTTATGTGTGTACAAGAGGGAAACTCTTCCTGTTTTCTTATATAGTGGTTATAGTAAATGTAAATTTGCAGAAAATCTCATGCAAACCGAAATGTGGGAAATAGTTTGGAATCTGCACCCTTTTAAGAATATTTATTAGTCATTATGTCATCCTCTTCAATTTCAGGTGTGTTAGTTTTCAGTCACCTTTGTAGTGATCGTGATGGTGATGCGGGACAGGAAGAGAAGGGATAATTCCCTTGGGATAATAGTAAATTGCATAAAAGACCTAGAATACCCTTTGTATGTAGCTAAAATGTACTACTTCATGTTGTATTTAAATGCTTCCCTTTTAATTTTTGAATTGGAGATCAATCATGTTGCTACTGTTAACTCTGAAAGAGAAATATCATCTTGATATGATACTCTATGTCAACCCAAACTTTTTCAGGCTTTTGTATCTTATGTCCCTTTCTCTGTTTAAGAAGCAAATCTCTTAAACTTAAATTTTTGTCATTTCACTGATGCCTGTCTTTACTACAGTGTTGATAATATGTGGCTGATATGAAAAGAAAAAGTTATTTTTATTTTAATTGGCAATTGCTTATATTAAATGTGCATTTGAATTTTAGGTAGTCATATCTTAGATGAGACTAGCTAGTAGTGAAGCATGGGAGTGTGTGCAGATTGGATCTTCCATAAAAAGTCACGATTTTCAAGGTCAGTTAATATCCAAGTGAATTGTTTTCCCTCAGTTCATCGTGTGTAAACTTTGTAGGATTTTAGCTGGATAGAACTGGGTTTCTTGTTGAAAGTCTTTTGAAGATATTTCCTTATGAATAGATGAGGAGTGAAATTAGGAAATTGCTGATGATAAGCTGAAAGAAAACAGTATCGACAGTATAACAAAACAGGAGCTGCTTTTTATGGGAAAAATTCCGAAACTAGATCAGTGTGTCACTTGAGCACGTATAAGTATGCTACTGAGGTACTAAAAGTACCAGAGTGAAAGAGAATCAACTTACTGAAGATCAGGTGCTTTTCCCCAATCACTGGCAATGGTTTGCCACTAGTGCTCTACTAGCTTACTGAAATGTAACTCCTTTAAAAAACAAAACAAAACAACCCCTCCAAAACCCAAACCAATGGTGGTGTGGTAGCTATGGTGGTAAGCTGTGGAAAACAAGCAAGGAGAAGAGGTTAGAGCTCCTTTGTGAAATAAATCTGTGGGTTGTTGGTGTGTAGGTTTTTTTTGTTTGTGTTTTTGAGACCATCATCACCACTATCCCTTTATCAGTTATTGACGACCCGGGGCAAGGAGACTGGCTGGACAGAGCTATTTCTATTGACTGGGGGAAATCTTCCCATGTACTGATATTGTGGATGCTAAGATATTGTTTGCCTTATCTGAGATACCTATTGTTGCAAACAGGTAAAAAGATGAGTATGGAAATTGAACCACAAAACATTCATGTTATTTACACATGAAATAATGCCAAGTGGAAGTATTATGAGACATATGCTTTGTATTTTAAGGATTATCATCCTTTACTATATTCTTGTTTGAGCTGGAGAATTCTAGCTAGGTATGTAGTTCTTGTTCATTACTTCTGTCTGTGCTACGCTAAAGGGGGAAGCTCTCAACAGAAGGGAGGGCTGCAGAAAACCTAAATAGAACAAAAGGGTTTTTTGGAACCAGTGATGGAGTTAAAATTTGATAAATCTCTTTAATTTCATGTTAAATAAATGCATGCAGTTTACTGTCATTAATGAAAATGCCATGAGTGTTTACTATTTTTTTTTCCCTAGGTATGCCTTACATTTTGTCATACAAAGTGGAATTTCCTACTATATCATGATCATAATAGGAGTGGAAAATATGCACAAGTAAGTTTCCATTCTAAAATTTTTTTTTTTGCTTTTACAAGAATGCTACTGTTCAGGGGTTTTTGGTAACTGTGCACATATGCCATACTTCTGGTTGTATCATAGTATTTCAGTATTTGAATTCTGCTAACCATGGTTTTATTTCCAGGAGAGAAAATGGCTTATTTGGGTATTTTTGCCAGCTTTTTTGAATATCTAAAGCTTGTTGCAATTGGTAGTATTCCACTGAGACTTCTTTTGTGTTCTCAGCATTCTGATTTTTTTGTCATTACTTATTTGTGAGACACCTAGCATTATTTATAATTGAGTTAACTGTACAAATGTAATTTGGTAACAGTCAGTGCTAGTAGAAGCAAGATGTCTGAAAGAAATGGAATTTGTGTGAGAAAATGTTTTATGTACTAAGTGTTTGTCATTGCCTTTTTTTTTGTTTTGTAAGAATAATGTAGTGTGAATGCTGTCTTAGGTTAAGAGTACTATCATAAAGTTACATACATAGGGCATTATTTTAGGTTTGCTTGAACGCACGATTAGATTATAGCAGTATCTGAATCCATATAGAATGGTACTTCTTTCTCTTTTTCAATCATTCTTAAAAGCAGGAGAGACACTTATTTTATTACTGTGTGCATATGTTTTACTATTCCACTAGTCTAGAGAGCAGAACCAAATTAGGTTCCCACTGTGTTAATTCCTGCATAAATGTTTAGTAAAATCGCAAATCCTTGCTTGAATAGGTTCCTGAAGTATGTGAGGCTGTCAGGAAAGATGCTGGTAAAAGAACCAAAAAGGAAGATTGCTTTACACAGAAAGGGCAAAGCCAGGGTGGTCTTAGTTCATGATCTTGCCTGTTAGAACGCTCTGCTTCTCTCTGGTCTGCTATTGAATATCACTTTATTGTCTCTGGAAATATGCCATATTAGGCTCTTATTTTTCAGGATTTTCTACAAAGCCTGATATATTCAAACTGCTGCAAATGTGAGAGAACTTAATTTGGTTGGATGGCTGGTTTATATTCTAATGGTTTATTTGATTAGAAGTTGTTTTAAAGCAACTTGTTCATATCAATTTCTCTTTAGATGTGTAACAATGTAATTTATAACTTATGTAGCTTAATATTTTAAAAGAAATTATTAATGCGGTTAAGTGCTGCAAAAGGAGGTACCAGGCAGGAATACTTTGGTCTTTTATCATAACAAATTACATAGGTTTCTCGTAAAAGGACATCTAGCAGTGGTTTACTTCCCTAATAGTGAGAGGCAAGTAGGCATGTGTGTATTTAACATTCCTGCGTTGGAGTGAGGGAACTTGCTAGTTCCTGATTCTCCCAATTCATACCAGCTGGTTTAACAACTGCATGGCCTGATCTGCTGAAATGTTTGCTGTGCTATGCACAACTGTGTGTGTTCTCTGTCACTCCTAGTTACTGCACAGGTGGGAGGGTAAAACCTAGATTTGACTACTGGGCTTACGTTGCTCTATCATAGTATGAGTTAACATACTGTTGGATAAAATTAGAAAGCTCTTCTTTCAGTGGAGGAAAAAAGATGTAACAAGTGGAGTAACTTGTTACTTCAAGTTGTGGACAATGCTTGGATGCTGTATGGGAAGCTCCAGCAGCCATTTCTACTAGGTGATACAGGCAAAACTGTACAAGGTTTGCTCCCTCCATTGCCACAGTATTCCAGAAGGGGTGATGCCTCTTGGTGTCCCTATATGGCTGTACCTTTTACTGAAGGAATGCACCACATACTCTAAATTTTCTGCTATGAAAATGCCACTTACAGCTTTCTGTTTTGCAGTCTTAACAGAAACTAATGTGAATGACTCCCCTCTCCACCTAAATATTTGTCTTCAGGCTACAAACATGTCTCAGAGCCCAGGGGAGATTTAAAATTAAGTGCTGTATAGTAGGGTGCAGCTGGTACCACCTGGCCTCAGGATTGGAGAAGGACTGGGTCAATGTTTCACTGGTGTGTGTGAAATATATACACAGCTAATCAGAGTACTTATATATACCTGCATAGCCCAAGTTTTGGGATTTACTTTGTGTGTTGTAGAGGGACCCATTGGCTGGCAGTCCTAGTTAGAGGTTACCTGCATTGTTCATAAGCTTCTTAAACTTGGAGACTATAGAACATCAAATATCCATACATGATGTAAATATGGATTCAAGTGACTTTTGTATTGGAAAAGCACTTGTGTATTGTACAAAATATTTTTGTCTATTTTCTAAATTCATTCACTGAAGTAAGCTTCCCTCTTCTTTTTCCTGTCCTGCTTGCTGTCCTGCAGATTTCATGAGTGAATGGACTGGGAAAACCATTATCCCTCTCCTTCCTGCTGCTTCTACCTCCTAATGTAGTTCCTCAGTCTCTCCAGCCTCTCTAAAAGTTGTTTAAACAAATAAGAGACAACTGAAGTTCTTAGACTGCTTATCAGTTCAGCTGCTATGCGCTGGGTATACTGGCTTTCCTTACCATCTGAAGCAAGGAAAGGTTTTTGATAAACTTCTACATTCTCCAAAGCAGACTTTCAAGTCTGGTACTGATACTCTTAAACCTCTACTTTCTTAATATGCTTCCATTGGGTCCTAAAAGTCTCTGCTCTACAAGGTTCCGACCTTTGTGATTTTCCTGAGGTAACTGAACCTTGTGCAGCTATTGCTTCTAGGTTGGTCTTGACAATACATGGTATGCTAAAGATGAAAGCCTTACTTGAACAACAGAAAGGGGAAGGGGAAAAAGAAAGAAAAAGGTAAATCCCCTGAGGAAAAAAAAAAGAACTAATCATATTAAAAAAGAAGGAAACCTTACTTCTTATATTTTAGCAACTTCTGGAATAAAGTTAATTAGCAGAAAATGAGTTACCTGAGACTTGAATTTAACTAAAATTGATCAATTATTTTTATATTTAAGTCTTATTTAAATGATGGTACTTTAAATGAAAGATGGAGTGGTAACACCACTCCTGAATGGTTCAAAGCTTTTATTTTTTAATTTGTGACTAAGCTATCTTAATATTTATTTGGTGCTTTCACGGCTCAGTTAATTGTGAAACTGAAAAATTTGTTTAAACAAGTTCTCAATTCCAATAAATTTGCATTTGGTAACTGATGTAGTGCTAATATTTATTATATTGTTTTTTTTTCTTAGAAATTCTTCTGTTTCTTCTATGGTTGTGAAATTGCTACTTGTCTTAAAAGACAAAACCCCAAATGCCACAAGGCTTTTCCTTAAAGCATTTGGCTACTGTTAGCGAAGAGCTATGTAAGCAGTGCTTGCACAGGTGATTTGATGACAAGGTTTTTAATGTTTCTAGGTAACTCTTTCTCTTTTGCCTTGATTGTTCATTTTATGGTTGGTAAATAACATCCCTCAGCCTGTGGGGAAAGGAAAGTTAATTATGGGGCTCACGGTTGCTTCACTGAAGTAAGTATTTTCTCAGTGACTTCACTGACAAAATATAGAAGTCCCAGCTCTGTCAGTGTAGAAAATAAATCTGTTTATTTAAAATCATTCCTGTTAAACTGTTCACTTAAATTTCTTAAATGTGCTAATGTAAAATCAAGCGACAAACATGTTATTCGCATCTGATATCTTCTGTGTTATGCTTAAAGTTGCAGGGTGATACTTTCCTTGTTCCAGAAGTATAGAGTTGAACTACTAAGGCTTAAGGAGGTTATTTCTGGCTTTAGAAAAGAAAAAAATCATTTAACTTTTCTGGGACATTTAAGTTATGAAAAGTAAATTAGTGAAGGACCCAGAGACCTGAGAGAACTAATAGCAGTAAATACATAATGAGCTGGGGGGGGGGGCACAGGGATGATGAAGGGACTGGAGCATCTCTCCTATGAGGAGAGGGTGAGGGAGCTGGGACTGTTCAGCCTGGAGACGAGAAGGCTCAGGCGTGTTTCATCAATGTGTGTAAATACCTGGAAGGAGGGAGCCAGGCTCTCAGTGGTGCCCAGTGACAGGACCAGAGGCAATGGGCACAAACTGAAACACAGAAGGTGCTGTCTGAACAGCAGGAAACACTTTTTTACTGTGAGGGAGATTGTGGAGTCTCCATCCTTGGAGATATTCAGAAGCCCTCTGGACACGGTCCTGGGCAGCTGGCTCTGGGTGGCCCTGCTTGAGCAGGGGGGTTGGGCCAGATGACCTGTGGCGGTCCCTCCCAACCTCAAGCATTCTGTGGTTCTATTTTATTTTGATGCACATACAATTCTTTGTACTGTACCTACACTCATGTATGTGAGCTGTTTGAACATGGTAATGTGAAGAGGTATTTGAATTTGAGTAAACAAACTTTGGTTGTAACTGGTCTGGCCCCTGTGGAGGTGCTTCCTAGTCATCCCTTTCCTGTGGGTTTGGGAATGTTAGTCCTCATTAAGTTCTTTTCACCCTCCTAGCCAGAGCCAGGACAGAGCAATGCCTTGTTCCCCTTTTCCTTCACTCCTTGGTGTGGCTTTGACAAACAGTGGGAGATTCGGCAAAGGAGGGGTGGAGGAGACTTGATGTTTTGATCTTAGAAATCTGAGATTAAGAGACAAGTAAGTCTTGTTCATCTGAGTGAATTAATTCACTCAGCGTGTTAATTGAGGCACTTTAATAAACACCTGACTGACAAATTATGCTGAATGTCTTGACTTGTTGATAGACAAGTTTGACTGCTAGTTAGCCTACAATTTAGATTGCTGTGAAAATTGTTAGGTGTTTTTTAAAAGTTATGGTTTCAGTAAAACACAAAATGGATCAAGCAAACTACTCGCATCCTGTGAGTTATTGGCAAGGTTTTCATAAGCATCTCTATATCTTCAGAAGTGAGAGCATTCATAAGCTGAAATGATTTTTTAAAATGGAAGTTAGGCTGTTTTTTGAACTTCTGTCTTTTCCAAAAGCCCTTGATCAAGGTAAATGTAAGTTTGTTGTGGTTTTTTTTATTGCTGTCTGCTTTTGATTTGATCACAGGTGTCTTAGTCTATGAAGAACATACATGAT